CGGGCTCCGGCAGCTCCCGAGGCCTGGCAGGAACCAGACCTGCCTGCCAAGCCGGCGACAAGACGAGGCAGAAAGCCAAGAAGCGCGAGGGAAGGAAGCCAGGCAGGGGCGCCCGTGGTGTTTGGGGCCCTGGACCTGGAGTGTTAGAAATTCACACCCCACTGCCCCCGCCCGAGGCCAGTGCTCTCGGCAGATACCCCCTCGGGAAGGCCGCTCCACCACCCCATGGGGTCCAGGGTGGCCACACTACGCGCCTGACACACTTTGTAGAGAGAGGAATAGGTCCCAGAGGCTTCGGGGCCCACCACGCTTCCTCTGCCCAGCCGGGGCCCCCAGGCCACGCAGGGACAGCCCAGAGACACCTGCCTGGACAGAGGCACGGAGTGTGCACTGTGCAAGGCACAAAAGGTGGGCCGGCCGCGCACCTGAGTTAGGACCCTCCAGGTGGGCTCACGGGGTGGGGTCCGGGGAGACGCACAGCCCCAGGGACCTGGCAGGCTCCCCACACCACTGCCCCTGCCTGGCCCTGGGCAGATGGGCGCTGCAGCCCTGCGGGAGGCGAGATCGCCCCACAACCAGTCACAGCCAGCACCTGGCAGCGGCCCCTGCTGCGTCATGCTCCGGCCGGCAGGGGTGCAGGCGCCCAGGCTCGCCCTCTGCAGGGAACTCAGGGGAAGGGTTAGGGCCGCTGGGGGGCTGCTGTCACACTCCAGGCGAGGCCTTTCCTGACTCGCGCCCTCACTGAGGCATTCACAAGCACCTCCCTGCCCACAGAAAGCCGGGGTCCCAGCAAGCCCTGCAGGGCAGGCCTCGGAGGCTGGGACACTCTGGGGGTCGGTGCAGTCTTGGGGTTCCCTAGGCTGGGGCTCATTCCAAGACTAAAACTGGGGCTTCCAATGCCAATGGAGGAGGTGTGTGTGTGGGGGGGTACAGTCTCTGCCCAGAAGAGGCTCTGGCGTGGGGACAGGCAGGGACGAGGCAGCCAGGCCGGTGCTGGAGCTGGATGAGCAGCGAGGGGACAGAGGGCCAAGTGGCCCAGGAGGACATCCTTTCTGTGGCCAGAGACACGGGAGGAGCCCCACGCGAGCTGCCTCAACAGGGCGCGCCCCAGGCCGTCATGGAGAAAGAGTCTCCTGGATATGACCGGGACCAAAGGTGGCTTAGACCCCGAGCCCCTCCCAGAACGATGTGCCGTGTGGGTGCCATCACTCCCCGGGCACCCTTTATCCCAAGGGGTGAAGAGGAGGGACCCGGAGACAGACAGACGCAGCGGCAGCAGCTGACCCCCGCGTGGATGGGTGGGGCCCGCGGGTCCAAGCCCGCCCTCTTCCCATGGACACCCTCTCCTTTCCAGGACCCTCCCAGGGGCAAGCCTCCACCCCTCCCTGCACAGTGGTCAGAGGTAGGGGAGGAGGGCACGGGCGGCCCCCGCCGGGTGCGCGCAGCTGCTATCTGCCTGGCCCTCGTGTGTTCTCTCTGAATCAAAACCCAGGACGACGAGATCGCTAAGGAAAGAGAGAAGCCCAGAGAGGTCAAGCGAGGTGCCTGGGACACACAGCAAGGATGTGAGCCAGGGCACGAGGCAGGTCCAGGCCCTCGTGGCACCCACAGCCCCACCCGGAGCAGCGGGCACCTCCACTCCACACGCCCCCCCGCCCCAGGGCAGTCTGGCTGCCACTAGGCATCTCCAAGCCTCGGTGCGGAGAGAATTCCCCACCAAAGGGCCGATTTCTCAGTTCTCATCCTTTCTCTCAAGGTAGAGCAAAGCACGCAGCGGAGATGACTTCCTTTGAACTGAGGGTTTCAACTGTACCCTCGGGGCACGACAACGTGAGCAAAGACATTTTGCGGAGGGGAGAACGTGGGCCAGAGCTCGGCCTACATGGGCGCTTCACAGCAAGGCAGGGGTGGCGGGGGAGAGGGTCCCAGGTGACCGGAGACACACCAGGGTGCACGTGGACGGCAGGACGGGCCCTGCCTCTCCCACGGCCCCTACGGTCCTCACCCCACGAACAGGCCAGGGAGGGGCCAGAGGCTGTGGGGTCTCGGGACCCGAGTCTGTGGCTTCCAAATTCCCCTCCACTGTTGACGATGAGGGACTCCTGTCCTCCAGCCCCGTGACGGTGGGGGGGTTCACTCCTGTCCTCCAGCCCCGTGACGGTGGGGGGGTTCACACATGTCCGTGACAGACGTGGGGCGCCAGCTGGCCCTGGAACATCAGGTCGAGCGCGGGAAGCCAATCACACGTGCTCAGTGTCCCCACCCCCACCCAGCCTATTGTGGCTCCCTGGGCGGGGGTGGAGGGGGAGCACGCGGACAGGCACGGCGCTTCCGCAGGGGCAAGGACACGGTCTGGGAGTTGGGTCACGCCTGCACGACTCTGGACACCATACATGACATCATCTTACTGCTTCAGAAGGGGGGGGGGGTCGCATGGCCCTGAACGAATCTGTAAAATTTCACAAGTATCCGGCTCCTTCCCAGACCACCAAGCCCACCAAAGCCCCCTCCCACCCCCCAACCCCCCGGCGGGTCTCTGGTTCCAGGGGAAAAGGCAGGGCCGAAGCCCTGGGACCTCCTGGCTCCCTCTTCATGCCCCCACTGACCCGAGGCTTCCGGAAGCCGACAGCCCCCATCACCCACGAGCCTCCACCCTGCACCACCAAGGTGGGTCCAGGGGCAAGGGGCTGCCGTCCTAACCCCAGCTCTGCGAGCCCGCTTCGACAGGTCTCAGCACCAGCGAGGGGCAGAGGCACATCCGCACAGGGTGGGCACCTCGGGCTCACAGCTGGACCTCTCTGAGCCTCGGCCTGGCCATCTGTACACCGGGCCGCTCTGGGCTGTGACCCCTTCTACTGATGGGCGGAGGAGACGGCAAGGTCACCCTGAGGGCGACCAAGTGAGATAAAGGAGACCAGGCACGGGCTGCAGCCCAGAGACGCTCCCCGAGAGGGACAGCACCTCCTGGTTTCTCAAACAGAGGCCTGACAGGGCAAACAGAGCTCACAGTCCCAGCTCCAATGCTCCGAACTTTCCCAACTTGGCCTTCGGCCTCCAGAAACCCCTCAGCTCTCGAGATACAGCGTGACGAGGGCCCAGAAGCACCCACGGTGGACCCCAAGCGAGGGGCGGCCCGGATTCCAACACGCTCCACGGACGCTGAGCCCCCCAAGCCCCAGCCCCACCCACATCTGAAGGACGGGTGCCCGCACACCAGCCAGCCGCAGAGGCCGTGCTCCCGTGACAGTAGGAGCTCCAGCCCGTGTGGCTGGTGCCCAGCTTCCCTCTCCCGGCCTCTCCCCGCCAAGTCACTCTTCTCAGGACAGCAAAGGAGAACGCCCAGGTCACAGCTGTGAACTGGGCCCCGTGGCCACGGGACCGGCCTCTGCCAGCAGCACACTTTGTTCCCGGCCCCTTCCCACCCAGAAGCCTCTGGCGTGTTGACTGCCGCTGGCCCATCTGCCCATCCGCACACCGAGGGCAGGCTAGGGCCGCAGAGAGCAGACAGGGCCATCGAGGCAGGCTCCTGCCCTGTGCCCTCGCGTGACCCCCAGCCTCAGACCTCCCCTGCCTGCCTCCACAAGGAGGAAAAGGGCCCTTCCATGGCTGCGTCCTCTGCCGCGGTGAGGTGTCACCCCAGGACGAGCCCAGTGAGCCAGAAGGATGGCCGGGGAGGACTCAGCACAGGCACAATCAGCATCTTCCCATGGGCCAACACTTGCCTTCTGAACGCTGGGAAAGGACAAGGCCAGAGCAGGGAGCTGCAGGGTGAACTCAGCCACGGGGCTGGCCTGTCCCCTCCCAGGGGACGATGGAGTCTCAACCACTCCATCCCGCCGTGCGTCCCCCTCCAGGTCGGCTGGTCTGGGGGCCTCCACGGGCCCAGGCAGGGAGCTCTCGGCCTCCTGCGGGCCATGTGTGCCCCAAGCGCGTGGTGCGCCGTTGCTGCGAGTGGTAGGCCCTCCTGCACGTGGCCAGGGAGTGCGCCCCGCGGGTGTGGAAGGCTCCGGGGGGCGTGGAAGGCGAGGAGGGCTGTGGGTGTCTACCAGGAGCCACGCTCTGCCCAGGCGGACCCAATGGCCCCACGGCAGGCGGACGCACAACCAGGCCCCAGCAGTCTGGTCTCCCGGGCCGCGGTCTGCTCGTTCCCCTTACACGTGCCCCTCAGCCCAATGACCCGGAAGAGGGGAGATTCAGAACTTAGAAGACCCCCCCCCCCAGCCAGTCCCCGTCAGGGCCAATGTCCCCTCTGCTGAGCCCTGAACCTCTGGGGCAAGACGGATCCCCAGGTCCCTGCTTCCTCTGCCCACGTCCGAGCAGCAAGTCCAGAGATCGGCCGGGGTCTCCCGGAGGCCCCAGCCGCAAACTGCCTCCTACCCCACTGTCCAACCAGCAGTCCAAGACCCGGGCTGACATGGGCACCTGGGTAGTGGTCCCCACGAGCGCCTGAAGCTGGGGACCCCGAGAGCCCCCAAATCAAGACCAAAATGCAGAGAGGGTCAGTGTTCACCTAAAGCCACACAGCATGTCACTGCCCACGTGACCCCAGAAGCCAGGGCTCCGAACCTTGGGGGGACACCCATCCACGCCAGCACGTGATCCCTGCCTTGGGGAGTTAGGTAGTCATGGGGGGTGCGGTCCCAAAGACACCCCCACTCTGAGACCAACAGGTTTCTGGAGACCGTGGCCGCCCCCGCAGCAGCTCCCGGAGCCGAGGCCAGAGGCGGCAGAGAGGCAGAAGCAAAGCGCAGGTACCAGGACGGGGCGGGCTCGGCGGCCGGGCGGGGGTCCCGGAGGGTCTGACCAGAACCAGGCAGCGTGGCAGACCTGGGAGCGGCGGGGGCCGGGCGCGGGGTCCTGTGAGTGCGGCTCCCGGTGGCGGGGAACGGCCGTCTCTCGGCCGCGCACCTGCTCCCCCCAGGAGCCCACGAGGCCCGGGAGGAGGGGGCTGCGCTCGCTCTCCCCCCCTCGGGCTGCAGCCCGGCGGGCGCGCCTCTTACCTCTGGGCTCCTCCGCCTGTTTGGCGAGCTTGCGCAGCGCGGCGGCAAAGCTGGAGGACGGCGCGGCCTGGGCCGACAGCGCGCTGCTGCTGGCGGGGCTGCCGCTGGGCACCAGGGCGCCATTGAGCGGCGAGGGGGTGAGGGGGTTGACGGTGGCGGTGGTCCTGGTCGCGGTGGAAAGCATCCCTAGTGAAGGGGACTTGGGCTCATGGCTCATGCCTGAAACAGGAAAAGAAGAACCAGAGGTCACCCAGAGAGTAGGAGGGCCCAGCACCAGAGCGGGGGTCCGCGGGGCACCAGCGAGGAGCATGCAGGGACAGGGACAGGAGCAGACGCGGGTGGCCCCGGCAGGACAGGCAAGACAGAGGACAGACAGCGGCGCAGAGAGAGCAGGGCCGCGGGACCCCCTGCCCCGCCGACCCATGGTCAGAGCCTCAAGTGCACACGGCATCCCGTGACCATGGACGCCAGACGGCATCTCCGGCCACATGCGGGAGGGGCGACAAGGTGTGGGCTGTGTCCTCACAGCAACAAGGACCGGGCGGGAGGAAGAGGCCCGGCAGCAGGAAGGAAGACGGCCGCAGAGCTACTCCCCACTAAGGCCTCTGCCACCGGCCCGCCCCCCCGGCCTCCCACCCCCACAGGGGAGGCCGGCACTGCTCCTGCCCCCGTTCTAGAGAAAACAGACTCGGGTTCTGCCCCAGGGGGGCCGGCCGGGGATGCTGGCAAGTCCCTACGGACACAGGTGCCTCAGGGAACGGCCCCATGGGCAGCTGTGCCAGCCATGGCGGGGGAGAACGCGGCCGCCCCGTACACCCTGCCTGCAGATCGAACCCATCGGGGGGCAGCCCGCCCTGCCCGCTGGGGGCCGGGTTCAGGCCTCACTGACGGAGGAGCTGCTGCCCGCCAGGGGGACACCAGGTGCCATGGGCGGGGGACACACACAGCCATCTTCCCACAGGCCTTTCCTGTCCTGTCCAAGTGTCAACGAGGAGGCTGAACGGCCTCCCGAGAGCCCGATCAAGAAAGGCCCAGCTCCGTCAGGCAGCCGAGGGCGTCGCGCCATAAATAAGTTTTCCATTAACATCCCTGCCCTCTCGGGGCCACCTGCATGGCCCGGCCTCACTCCCCGCCCTGGCCGTGGGCGCGTTCCAGGGGCATAAATCAAGCCCGATGGCCTTGCGGCGGGCAGGGGCTGTGGGTCACATGAAGGGAGAAGCAAATCGACTTCCAAACCCCCCGACGGACACCCAGGAGGGGCAGGCATCCGGGAAGGGTCCCTGGGAGTCACGGGTGATGGAGCACGATGGGAGAGCACTCAACACGACAGGGCAAAGAACACATACTTCTCGCAGGGTGGCGGCAAGGGGCGCCCCCAGGCAGCAGCCTACAACCCAAGAGGCTCTCTGGGGCCCCCAGAGTCCCCCTCGCCTCCCCTGGGTTCTGTGCTGAGCCTAAAAGAGTCTAACTAGAACTGGCTTCCACATCCAGCTCCGTGGGCCGGCAGGCGAGAAGGGGGAGCCCCCCAGGGGGTCAGGCGCCGACCTGCTGCCCCCCCGACCCCGAACTAGCCAGGAGAGGCAGTGGGCCCGCACGCACATGTTCTTAAGCCTGAGTCCCAGAGCACCAGGCAAGGCAGGAAGACCCATCCTCGGGGGTGGGGGCTTGTGCTGGGGAACAAAGGACCCCCACCATGCCCACAGCCTGCCTGCGGGCCTCCCAGCTGCAGGGCAGGCCACGTGGGCGGCCACCACACTGGGCAGCTCCACTGAGCAGCTGAGACAGCGCCGACCCCCGGCTGACCCACATGTCCTCCTCCTTCTGGAGCAGCGGGGGCAGGGGGTGAACCCCAGGAGAGAAACCCGAAAATCCAGGGGGTGTCGGGGGGTCCCTTCCCCAGCAGGCTGATGGCCAGAAAACGCAGGTCTCAGGCCCGGGTCATTCCTGGTCAACTCAGCACCGGGCCAGGCCCCAGAGGACCACTGAGCAAGACGGAAGCTGGAGCTCTGGGAGTGCGGCCCCAGGCCACGACCAGCACCCTCTCCTCCTCCCGCGGACAGCACGGACAGACCGCGCAGGAGGGGTGGCCAAGGTCACGGAGTGAGGAAGTGGGGGTCCGAAGGTCAACCTTAGCATCCCTTGGGGGCCAGGTACCTGGGCCGCGAATCCCGCTCTGCAGCCTCAAAGCCATGTGACCTCAGGCAAGTCACAGCCTCTCTGGGCCTGTCTCCTCGTCTAGGAAATGCAGTTAAGGACAAAGTCTACCTTGCAGGTTCATCTAGACAGGCTTCAAGGAACTAATTTACACAAGGGGCTTTGGCGTGTGCCCGGCGCACACCAGGGGCCACTGATGGAACCACCAGCCCACGGAGGGGCAGAAACACAGGTCTGGATGAGCAAGGCGGCCACACCGGTCGGCCTCCGCAAACCAGGACACAACACACGCTTCCAGAACTGGGCTTCCCGCCCCACCCGGGGGATTCAGGCGATGTGGGGTCACAAGTCCACGTGCTGCTGGGGGTGGCCCCCGCGGCCCCCCGCAGCCCGGCATGCACGCCACAGTAGCTGCTGCGGGTGGCCCAGAAGTCCTCCAGGGAGCGCTGAGCACCCACAGCTGGGGCGGCGACGGCTGTTGGGGGGGGGGGGGCGCAGACAGCGCTCGGAGATACCGTGTGGTGAAACGGAGACACAGGGTTGAGGCCCACCGGTCCAGGCCAAACGCTCAGGGGAAGGCGTGGCTACAAAGGGCAGCTGGCAAGCTGCCTGAGAAGAGACCCCGGGTTCTCTCCCACTGGGGACATCAGTTAGGCACGGCCAGGTCACCTCCCCAGATGCCTCAGGACAGACCTGGGGGAGGCCAGCAGAGCATTGCGGAGGGGAGGGGGAGACACACAGGCCAGGAGCTGTTCACAGTCCAGTCCTGGTCACACGCACAGCGCAAGGCCACATAGCCTGGCTACACGCCCAGGACTCGCACCCCATCTCCAGGCCCCCCACGGCATCCCTGCGCACCCTACACCTCTGTCCGCTCCGAGGCCTCAACAGGATGCTCGACCAGGAAAAGATGGACGAGCGCGCACACGCACGGCTGAAATACGTGTCACCATAGGGTCTTAAAAACACGCCCACCAAATCTTCGTTCCTCAAGCCCTTCCAGGGACGGAGATGAGTTCCCCCTGACAGGGGCCAGACTTATGGACTCACTTCTGATGAACAGCACAGCAGAAGCAACAGCGTGACTTCCAAGAAGAGACCATCAGAGGCACGGTGGCCACTGTCTCGCCTCCCCTCAGTGGAGCTGCTCAAGAGGCCGGGGACAGTCCCAGCTTTCCTGCCACCTCCAGACAGAAGCCTTGTCCCAACCCCCGCCCGGCCGAGCCTTCAGATGAGACCACCGCCCCCGCTGCCAGCTGGACCACAGCCTTCCCGGAGCCCCAAAAGTTCGATCATCTCTAAATACTCTATTGCCTTTACCAAGTCTCCAAAATGGGCCCCCTTGACACCATCGGGGACCATCAGCCACACCCTCCGTGTTTCCTCATTCCTTAGAGAGCCAGCCGCCTCTCTTTAATCCCCAATTCTGTGAGAAAGGTGCCAGTGTGCCCATTTTACAGATGGGGCAGGAAAGCCTCGGATCCCGGGCCCGACAGAAGGCCAAGAGCAGGGCTGAGATTACCAGAACAAAAACCCCGCACCCTCTTTATGCGAAAGTGGTCAGGGCCCTGATCCAGACCCCTCCTGCCCACAGCGCACACGGAGCTAAGAGATGGGGACAAGGAGCGGGGAAGGGAGGTAGGCAATGCGGTCACTGCACCTCGCAGTGACCAGTCCCCAAGGCCCAGGAGCTGATGGGAGGCCACTGCCCAGTGGCCATGTGACAGGCCGGCCAGCTGGTGACCTGGGCAGACCTGCTGTGGCTGCCAGCTGACAGTGGGCCAGGGTGGCACAGGACAAATCCCAGGCCAGACCCCAAGGATCACAGACCCCTTAAGGTGTGGGCGGGTGTCTTCCCCGAGCGGCAGCAAAAGGAACAAAGGTCTCCCTTCCGTCCTTGTGTCTATGCCGTAACTTCCCTGCACTCAACCAGGCTTTCACAGAGGCGGGATCATGGGGGCACCCGCGTGGCTCAGTTGGTTCAAGCGTTTGCCTTCGGCTCAGGTCATGGTCTTGGGGTCCTGGGATGGAGCCCCATGTGGGGCTCCCTGCTCGGCGGGGAGTCTGCTTCTCCCTCTCCCTCTCCCCCTGCTCATGTGTGTGCGTTCTCTAACATGTGAAATCTTAGTAAGTAAATGGGTAAGGGGGGGCGGGGCAGGGTCATCAAAGAGACGGAGACTCAGCAGCGTGAAGCTGGCCGCCAACAGAGGCCCCAGGAACGCCCCTCGGGCCAGGGCCTCCCCTGCTGGAACTCAAACCCAAAGCCTTACCTACTGCTCCCCAACCTGGCCTGGTGACGAGGGTCTTTAGGGATCAGCTATCCTGTGAACATCACGGTCACACTCCTGCTGACCCCGAGTAACCTCCCCTCCCGCCCAAGTCTCCCCTCAGGCAAAGCCCAGCACCAGCTCCCTGGGCTCTGGCCAGAGCCCTCTGGGTTCCTGGGGGTCCCGCAAAGCCACTGTCTCTGCCGTGGTGGCAGCTGTGGGCTCCAGAGGCGTTGCAAGCCAGGAAAGCTGCCGCCGCTGTCAGGTCACTTAAAATAGAATCTCCACCAGCCACTTCATTAAAGAGCTAAAATTAGCAGCACTCCCGCAGCCTGCGTGCCGGGAGGGCGGGCTGGGGGACCACCAGCAGCCGGGGCGGCAGTGCCCTGGCACCCATGACGGAGAGCCACAGGCCAAGCTCACGGGACCCCGATGCCTGGCAAAGGGTCACCCCGGACCTACTCTGACTCAACGCAGCCTTGGGTGGGGCCCCCCTTGCCCCCTAAGCCCTGCCCCGGGGAAGCAGATGCGGGCCTCGGCCTCCCCCACGCACGTGCCCTCTGGCCAAGTCCATGGCGGTTGCTGCCACGACCTCGGAGCCCACAGGGGTGGGCTGAGGGGAGACAGGGCCTTGGGGTGGCCCCCGCACACCCTCAGGAGGCCCCAGGGGAACAGGGAGCGCCTGCTCCCCGTGCCCTCGTTAGAAAAGGTATTTATTAACTTCTGTGCTCCTGGCCGTTGACTGAATTCTTGTCTACATTATCAGCTCATGTAAATTCATTATCCTAACAGCTGCGA